CTTGTTCGCTAGTCCCTCGCTCGCTCTCCCTCCCGTCTAGCTCGCTCGCAGCTTTTTTAATAATATTATTCTAAGCGGGCATGAGGCGCGGCGGCCCGAGCCCTGATTGGTCCGGTTATCTGACCCGGGGCCTGCCCGCGCCAGACAATAGTCGAGTCAAATTATTCGCCATGGAGACGCTGTCAGTCACCGGTAACCCGAGCCCCGGCGGCCGGGGCTGCTCCCCCCCTGGCCGGCTCCGCTGACAGATCGCTCCGGCTCTGCGCGTAGCAAAGGGCGGCCGAGACAGGAGCCCCAGGCACTCCCAGAGCCTGGGAGGCGGAGAGGGGCCGGGCTGGGGCCCGAGACGGCGGTGATTGACGGGGCGGTCGCCCAAAGAGCAAAAGAGGAGGAGGACTCCGAAGGAGGGGGACTGTGTGGGGACCCCCCCGAAGAAAAGAGGAGGACCGAGGTGGGAAGGGAAGGAAGAGGGTAGAAGGGAAAACGGAGGACCGTTTAAGGGGATGCCATGCAGGAAAGAGAAAAAGGGGGGACAGAAGGCGCCTCCAAGGGGAAGAAGTGTGGTATACTTTTTTCTTTTTCTCTCTTTCATTTTTTTTTTTTTAATTTTTAAAAGGGAAATGCAACAGCGTAGCCCAGGCCTCGCCAGGTGCTCCAGCCCTGGCTGGGTCACCGCGTCGCTCGGAAAGTCGCAGCTGTCAGGCAGAGATACCCAGGAGGAGGTCAGTGGATGGACAGTTTGGATTTTCTTAGGGGGCCTCTGAAAGACTTGACTTTCCAACTGACAACGCCCCACCCCCATGCTAGAAACCCGGGGCCCCGAGCTGTCGTCCTGGGAAAGGGGGAGGAGGTGGGGAGAGAAATCAGAGATTTGGCAGTGGCCGCAGCTGGACGCCTGAGAATCAACTTCCCGGAGGATCCCGCCTTTCCTTCCTTTCGGAGCCGGCTGGCTGCCCCGCGGCCGGTACCGCCCCCACTCGGCGCGTTTTGCTCCACGCCAGGCTGGGATTCAGACTTTAACCCCACGGGGCCCAGGACCCGAGAAACTCCCGGCCGTCCTGGTGTGGCCTCTGCGGAAGTTGATTCTTGCAGGGCCGACGACGCAAACTAAGGAACTGCTTTAGACCCGCAGACTGCCCTCGGGGAGCTCAGGGCAGCCAGTGCAGAACGATTGTAGCCCCAAGGGGCTAGTGCGCAAGAGAGAGGAGGCAAGATCCACCAGTTTCCAGCCTCTCCAATGGGTTAGGATTCCTGGTCGCTTTAGCCTGAGAACCCCTCACTGAGTTCCGGCATGAGAGGCCTTAGAAGAGGTTTGGAGGTGTTCCTGCTTTTAACTTCTTTGTCAGAACACCTCGAGGAAACACGTGGTGCTGCTTCTTTGGCAAAACAAAAAAACAGAGGAGAGAGAGAGAGAGAGAGAGAGAGAGAGAGAGAGAGAGAGAGAGAGCCACAAGAAGCACAAGACGGACAAGGGAGCTCCGGGGACTGCGCACGGGGGGAGGGGGTGTCCCTGAAGTTTTTAGGATTCGAAAAGTGGACCTTATTTCCTTGCCAACTTGTCCATTGCTTATGCGCCCCTCCCTGCCCCCCCCCTCCAGGTTTCGGGCTGCAAGCTCCTACTGGCTTTCTCAATGCCAAGACTCAAGGCAGCACAGATCGCAAGGTCTGTTTGCAGAGTAACTTCTAGGCCTCGGTTTTTTTTTTTTGTTTGTTTGTTTTTTTTGTTTTTTTTTTTTTTTTGTTATCAGCCCTGTAAGCTTTCTAACGGGGATGGAGAGACAGATACTGAAAATGAGGGAGTCTGGAGCCTCAGCTTTGATTTTGGGCTTTGCCAGTTGTTTATGGCTAAGGTACACATTTATTTATTTAAGGATCCAACATGATTTCCTAAACTTCCCCTCTGCTCCAGAATGCCCAAAGCCGTTTGGTGGTGACGCAAGCATGGGGGAGTGGAGCACTCAGACTTCCCTAAGACTTTAGTTCTTCCAGGCCTGTCCGTTTGAGTTGAGGCCACAAGATTGCCTGAGTAGGTGTTAAGCCAGCACAGGAGACTGAGTTCCTGCAGAAATTCAGATGCCGTCATTGTATCTGCTGGCAGGGCAGATCTTAGTGCATCTCTGAATACCCATGGCCTGGGGCTTGCCCTTGAGTCACCTATGAGGATCCTGAGAGACCTGGAAAATGTGTTACCCAGACTGCAATAGGACTCAGAGCATATCTTGCTATTAAGGGTGACCTATCTTTTCCAAGGATCTCTCCTCAGCTGCACAGTTAAAAAGTATTCAGCTGATTCCAGCTCTGGTCACAGCCACTTTTAGAAGGCCAGAGAGGGGAAAAAACACCCTGCTTGGGTGCTGGACCAGTCAGTTACTTTCTGGTGTAAGACTTTGGGTTCATCTCACCACTATTAGCTGGGGCCTCAGTGATCGCCCTAATACCTTCCAGTGCTAGCCCTACCGTCATTGCTAAGGATGCTCTCTGAACCCCAGCCCTGACTTGACCACAAACCTGCCCCTTCTTGGGCGTTTGAAGCGTTAAACTGATGGAGTTTCTCCAGCACTGGGCCCTGCCAATGCTCCCGGTAGGCAGATTTTCTGTGTCTTTCTGGAGATCCACAATTCCAGACTTCCGGACGGTTCCCACGCCACAGGTCACTCACCAATCCTCCCTGGAGACTTCATGCGGTACCCAGGAGTAGGGAGCAGAGCAGGCCACCTGCCTCCCAGGGTGCCAGATGAAAAGTCATTACCTAGCCAGCATAGAAAAAAAAACTGTAACCCCATTACCCAGTGCGTGAGTGTGATATGATCCCAGCTAGCTACCCCTCCTTCCACCTTGGTCACAAACCAGTTCTAGCAGGTCTGGGTCAGAACCTCTGGGCAGCTGGGGGTGGGGTGGGGTGGTGGCGACTGAATGCCTGCCCTAAAAAGGTTAGAATCTCAGCTAGGGTCTCCTCGTACTTGGCAGTCTCGTTCTGGCCCCTCCTTCCCAGAATTTGCTACGGGACAGAACATAGGTTGTCTGGGTGGGGATTTGGTAGACACCAGCCATGGCCCTCAGGCGAGCTCAACTCTCTGTTCCAGCACACACAACAGCTGTTCCACAGGCTTGCGGTACCAAGCCTGAGGTCTCTACTTGACCTCAGCTTTCAGCCTTGTGCGTTTTCCTCCACCCAGTCGTCCACTCAAAAAATGCTTGCACTAAAAGTTTGTTTCAGCAAGCACTGGCAGGGGACTTGATGGCCAGAACGGAGGAAACTTTTGGAAACAATTGGGAATTTGCGATTCATTTGCATTCCCAGCTGCGCTGGAAGGTTCTCTAGGAGCATCGGACAGTCTGGAAAGCAGTATTGGGTGTGCCCCATGAGCTCACGCGGACAGGATTTCTTTGCCCCAGACTTTTGGACAGGGATGGTCTAAGGCCTTTGTGCCTGGAGATCGACAGGAAACTCTCAGAATGGAGCCCGAAGGCCACCACTGACCGGCGTCCATTGAACAACGGACATCTGGAACACCGCACTCACGCATAGCCGGCCTTATGGGTGTCCCGAGGGGGAAGAAAGGCCTTGCTGACTATATCCCAGGTCAGTGGACCAGAAGACTTGATTCCGGGCAAACCCGTGTAACTCAGAAAAAAGAAGAAAAGGGAGTGGGTTCTCCATGCCAAACCCAAGCAGAGCTTGTGTGTGTCTGCTTCATTTTTATTTTCCCCTGCCTTTATAAAGGCTGCAGAAATCTCTTGGACTGACTCCGGGCGCTGCCGCTGGTTGATACAAACGCCTGATGGACGATGTTCTCTGCGAGGCTCAGAGAAGGGGACGTCCGCTCTCCTGCAAGTCCGGGTCTGGACAGTGACTCTTGTTCTCTCTCCTTCACGAACTTTTCCCAACCTTTTTGGGCCTGAGCAGTGCGTTTCGTTGAAAGCGGGCCAAGTAGCTCGCAGTTCAAGCGGGTTTGCTTTGTGGCCCTCTGTGCCTCCCACCTGCCTCTGGCAGCTGTCAGGTCGTCTGTGTCTCCGCAAGTGCTGCTGACTTTTGCAAACTCCGACACCCCGCGGTTTCGGTATTGCTCCACGCGTAGTACCGGATCAGATGCTGGGTTACTGCTTGCCCCATTTTGCTGAACGGTTCTCAGGGCACCCCAACGCAGGGAAGTTTGCAGGACCCTGGGCTCCAGTGACGGCGCTCTACAAAGGGCGTAACCTGTATTGTCGCCTGCACCGCACGTGACTGTGACTGTAACAGGTCCCAATGGTCAGAGCAGCAGGAATCCCAGGGGTCACTCTGCCTCTCTGACCTGCGAGCCTTTGAAACCCACGTGGCAGTCGAGAGGAGGCCTGGCTTTCGGAAAAACGGTTTGGGGGCTGTGGTCCCACCCGGGATCTTGGGCAAACGAAAAGAGGGGGAGCCAGGGTTTGGTGGCTCGCAAGGCAGCCGATCCGCCTGGAAGGTGCAGGCGGGGTTTGAGGCGACTACCAAGGCCTGGCCGCCTTCCTGCGACGCCTGGCCGGGTCTCCGACCGCGGTCACCGCTCGGGCCTGGTGCGCCTTCCAAAGGCGCCTCACCCTGTGCCGGGCCCCTCCGAGTGGAGGTG